ACTTGAGTTCAACTTTAGACAAGATTTAACTAACTCCTTAGTTTTGCAGAAATTTCGGCAGCACTCCTGCTAGAAAAGTGTTATTCCAAAATTTATACAAGGCTAAGTCCAGAATTTGAAAGTAACTTTGACTTCTCAAAGTCCAATTTTGTCTAGCTCCCTGAATTGACAAAAAATTTGGGCAGCACTCCCTTTAGAAAATGAGACTTCCCAGATTTTTACTAAGTGAGATATAAGAAAAGACAAAGTTGAACTTTTGACAAGTCAAAATTTGACTAACTCCTTGGTTTTGTAGAAATTTCAGCAGCGCTTCTCGTAGAGAAAGTAGCTTGCCAAGATTTATACAAAGCCAAGTATAAGAAAATATCCCAAAAAATGCAAGAATTGACCTAAGTAAAAAACAAATTACTACAGAAAATGCAGGAATTGACACTAACTCCTATGACTCTAGCACGTGGCGAGCAACGAAAGCAACTACCTATCAACCTGAAACTCAGACTAAGTAGTGGTCTCACTCAGTCACATGCAAGCCAGACTACAAAGGTAAGTACTCTCACCATCCCAAGTTCATTCCAGCAACCAATAGTTCATGGTCCTTTAGTAGCTTAACCCCTAATATGCTGCTTACATAAGGCATAAGGTGAGGTCACCCAAACTGATGGAATGAACCTTACTTAGCCAGGCATAGAGTCAGGACACCCAAACTTATGGAATGAACCTGACTTGCCAGTGAATATACATGAATAGAGGGCACAACTAATTTTGTCTTCTTTGAACTTCCATTTCGTCAAAATGGACATCTTTTATTTTTTAAACGAAATTGAAACCGAGTTTTTTGGCCGAAAACTCGTCAAAATTTGTTGTTTGAGGGTCCGATGTTTGTAAAACGCTAGACCCCCTGGCTGCTGGACTGCGCGAAACAGAACCAGTTTCTTGAGAAATATCCCCTTCGTTTCGAGGACAACTTGACGGGGAGTGTGTCGTACTTTTGCATACATGTTGATCTCTGTCATTTCTATTTCGCTAGGGTTCTTTGTGTTTCGGTAAGAAATAGAAGTAAGACTTCAACGGAAGCAAGTATTTACGTGTTCACGAACGAGCTCATGGTTGACGGGGACTCGATTATGTTACCGCATGGTTGGAGGAACAGTAAGTTTGACGTGAAACTGGCGGGGCAGGTTGACACACCTCGGTATTGGGAGGAGGCCGAGGAGTACGTGACGGTCATTAGAGACGTCATCAGTCACACATTAGCCAAGTCATGTGGTTTCGTCCATGCACGATACGTGTCTTGCTTCTCCACCACTGCAACCCTGTGTAGTCCACAGCTCCTAACGTACGGTTCATCCCTGAACACAGTGTACGGTTTCGGGGCGAAAGGATAGGCGAGGTCGTGGGGGAGGTCATGGGAGATGAACAGTGTAGGACATGTCAGCTATTCAACTGTTCATCAAAAGTGAAAACTGAGACTGTGTACGCGTGTGAGCATTGAGTTTGATGTGAGCTTGTCGATGCCAGTTAAACCTCTCTCTCTCTTTCTCTCTCCTTATGTGTGTGTGTGTATGGTTAGTAATCGGTGGAGCGTACTGTTAGTCGCTCGTTGGGGGTGCCGGTTGCCTGCCTTGCCAATTGAATGCCTCGAATTGATATTGGATGTAGGCTTCCAATTGATGTGCCTTGATTGGTGTGCCTTGTTGGTGACGCCGCTCCCTATTCAGCGAAAGATGAACAGTGTGAGAAATGTGGGTTATTCAGCAAGAGTGTGAAATGAGACTGTGTGTATTATGGAAGCAATGGGTTTGATGTGAAATTGTCAATGCCGGTTTTCGATTCGTCTGTCTTGTTTGATGTGACTTTTAGGTGTGCCGCTCCCGTGTTCTGTTTGCCTGCTGTTGGATACGTCGTTCATTTTCCGTGTTCTGTTTGCCAGCCCGATCGAGTCGAACTGTCACGCTGGCCCGCCACGTTCGAGTCGACCTCCACCGAGTCCACCTCCATCGAGTCGACCTCGATCGAGTCGAACACGATCGAGTCGAACACGATCGAGTGGAACACGATCGAGTCGAACACGATGGAGTCGAACACGATCGCCTGGACTCACGATCTGATCGAACACGATCGCCTGGACTCACGATCGGCTGGACTCACGTTCGAGTCGAACAAGATCGCGTGGACTCGCGATCGAGTCGAACACGATCGCTAGGACTCATGATCGACTCAAACACGATCGAGTGGAATACGATCGAGTCGAACACGATGGAGTCGAACACGATCGCCTGGACTTACGATCGGATCGAACACGATCGCTTGGACTCACGATCGCCTAGACTCACGTTCGAGTCGAACACGATCGCCTGGTCTCATGATCGAGTCGAACACGATCGCCTGGACTCGAATTGATATTGGATGTAGGCTTCC